CCCACTTGTTTGTAGAATGTCCATTGTATAAGTCCCTAATTGAACGACTCTTTTTCAAGTTCACTCATTGGATGCTAAGTGAGGACTGTGACTCTAAACTAAAGTGGATGATTGGGACTTTTTTCAGGGAGCTATCAGGATGCAAAAACTGGAAGAATTATATGGGTTCCTTGATAAGTGGCATTTGGAGGGAACGATGCTCAATTCGCTTTGAGGACACTCGGAAAAGTGGTGTTGACATGGTTGCTTGCTCTCACTTTGAAGATCTTATGTGGAGGTTTTGACGTAATGAAGTTCAACTTGCTCTCGGTTCATGTCTTCTTTCTTTATTTCTTTCTTTACAAATGCTAGTATGGATAGGTCTTTGTTGAGATAATTAATTGCCACGTTTGTTGCTAATAGTACTACAATTTTGATGGAATGAAACTTTTTTTTAGGGGTAACCTGCTTAATCAGTAAAGAAACTAGTTTGCAGGTACAACATCCAGACAAAGCTGGTCAAGGAGAAACATCGGTGGCCTATCAAGCCAAACTTCTCTAACATCCCAACGAGTTTCACTATGCGCCATGATATGAGCCGCATTGTTCGCTTCCCTTCGAGTGTGGCGAATCATTCCAATGTTAAACCTCGCCTATAGCAAGTAGTGCTTCACATTTTGACCTACTGTCTCCACTTCAGTACAATCTCGGCTGGGATCATGTAGCATGTTAACAATAGAAAGACTATCAGACTCAAGAATCAGAGGCGCAAAGCCCAATTGGTTAGCGAGCTGGACCCTGAATTCAGCAACCAGCATTTCTGCCATTTCCACACTGAAAGTGCCGCAAATTCTCTTTGCTGCCGCAACAAGAAAAGAACCCTGATGGTCCCGAACAACCATCCCCATACTTGCGCCATCCCCTGCCAAAATACCTGCATCAGTATTTACCTTAATCCAGCCTTCCGAAGGGCGGAGCCATTATAGGGAGTTTTTTTCATTTACCGCGCCCTCAAACAGGGATTGGGATGCTTGGTACTCCTCCAAAAGTGCCTGTGCGCGGGCACCAATCTCGTGCTCTGGCCTTTACTCTTATTGAAGAGCTGGGCATTTCTTTCATTCCAAAGTGCCCATAACAACATCGCCAGCTTTCAACAACATCCTTTGGTCTTTCAACTAGAACTTTGGCAACCCACTCAAGCGAATTAGCCACCCCCTATGTATCAAAAGCACACACCACCAACGAAGCTCCCCAAATATGGCGACTCCAGCTGCATTCTCTGAAGAAGTGGTCCTGAGTTTCCTTGAGATTAAAGAAAGGGAAAGCATCCGACCACCTTTCATTATGCTTACTAACCCTCTCACCAGTAGGAAGAATATCCCAGGAAAAACGTCATAAAAATTGCCTCAACTTGGGCGGAATATTCAGGTTCCAAACCTGCTTCCAGAAGTCTTTATTACTACACACAGCAACACCCTTCTGCAACTTGAAGTCTTCTAACCACCTGCGGTACCCATCATTGACTGAATATATACCATTTTCGCTAAAATGCAGATTAGTCCATCCTGATTAGTTCTATTCCGAAGAGGGATATTAAGGATAACTTGGGCAAGTGGGCGGAAAGCACCTGTCGACTAGAGCCGTATCCCAGCCACCCGTGAGCGGGTCAATAAGCTCGCTAACATAAGAATCCACCTGCAATTCCTGAGGGGTCGAGCTGACAAAAGTATGCTCACCAGTCGGGAGCCACCGATCTCCCCAACCCTTCAGTTTCTGTCTGAGTCTCTCTCTTAGCCCAGCGAAGAGCTCCTTCTTCGACTTGCCAACCTCAGTCACCAGGCCTAAATACTTGTCTTTCTTTTCCACAATCTTCATCTCCAGAGTTCCTCCCACCAAAAGCTTATGATGTGGCTTCACATTTGCTAAGAACGAGAACTCCGATTCTGGAAATTGACTAGCTGCCCAGACTCGCGTGCATATTCATTCAGAATGCGCTTCAGCTCCGGGCTTTCTTGTTGCGTTGCCCTAGCAAAAAAGATACCGTCATCAGTAAAAAATAAGTGGGAAAACACCGGGGCTCCCTTTACCACCTCCAGCTCCTGCAACCGGTTCTCAAGCATAGCTTTAGTTGTATAGGCCGATAATCCTTACGCACACAGCAGGAAAAGATAAGGTGATAGAGGGTCGCCCTGTCGAATCCCCCTAGATGGGGGCAAACAATTCCGAGTGGTGGCCATTCACCAGCACTGAGTAAGAGACAGACCGAACTCCCATCATAACCACTCGAATCCACTGTTCTGCAAAACCTAGCTTCCGCATAACCCCCACCAGAAAATTCCACTCCACTCGATCATAGGCTTTAGCCATATCGATCTTGGCCGCAAAATATCCATGTTTCTTATTTTTATTCTTCTTCATCGAATGGAAACATTCAAAGGCAGCCATGAAATTGTCAATAATTAAACGACCAGGAACAAAGTCACTCTGCTGAGGGGAGACAATCTTGTCTAGGAGGACCTTCATCCTGTTGGCTAGGACCTTCGAAATAATCTTATAAAGGACATTGCATAGACTTATGGGGCGATACTCCTTAGGCGACACAGGTTGCTTCATTTTGGAAATCAAGGCTATAAGGGTATGATTGAGATTCTCCGGCATCATCCCCATCGTGAGGATCTGTACAACGGTAGCAACCACTTCATCCCCAATCACATGCTAGTACCTTCAGAAAACGAACACCAAGAGACCGTCGACGCTCGGTGCCTTCCTTTTCCCCATTTGATTAAGAGCGTCAAAGATTTCTTCTCTAGAAAATGGTCGGAGCAAGGCTTCATTATCAGACACCTCAAGTCGTCGAGGAATAGACTCCAGCACCGGCCAAGACTGCGGGTAGTCGCCAGCAGTAAACAAATGTTGATAATAATGCACAAAACAGTTCGAGACTGCTTGTTGGCCCACATGCCAACGCCCTGAGCCATCCCGAAGTCTTTTTATCGTATTTCTCTTCCTACGGGCTGAAGCTTTACGATGAAAGAAGTTTGTATTTTTATCTCCTCCCTTCAACCAATCAACTCTCGATCGTTGCTTCTAGTGTTGTTCTTCATTATCCAACAGCTCAGCCATCTCATCTTTAAGCTGTCTGCATTGCTCCAAGACCTTAGCGGTTTTCGGACGCCGCTCTAGCGCACGCAAGGCACGAGTGATCTTGTCCTTCTATCGCGCGAAGTTCGGAAACCTACTACAACTCCAGTCTTCTAGCCTTTGCCTGCACTGATCGAATTTAGTAAGGATGTTCGCCCCGCCCAGTGACTGCCAGGTGTTCGCGACCAATTTGGAGCATTCATCTTGTTTGGTCCAATAGGGTTCAACACGAAACGATCGACCCCATTTCACTTCAACGTCCTCCGCACCTCGGGTGTCACAGAGGATAGGGAAGTGGTCTGAGTTCGCTCGATCCCAGTTGTGAGCCTGGAATTGCGGAAACAGCAAACACCAAGCATCATTCGCCACAAATCTGTCCAACCTTTCCTCGATATGGCCACCCCTAACTCTCCGGTTTTTTCAAGTGTACGAATACCCAATGAAACCCAGATCCAGGAGTTTTGCTTCATAATGCAGTCTCCGAAATTCCTCATATCCCCATCATAAGCCGAATTTCCTCCCATTTTCTCTTCAATAGAGAAGACTTGGTTGAAGTCTCCTCCACAAAGCCAAGGGCCATTCCATTGTTGTCGAAGGGAGGTAATCAGATCCTACGCGCGCCATTTATTAGTACCGATCGGGCACCCATAAATGCTCGAAAACCGCCATTTCCCTTCTGCTTCTTCCACCGCAATATCCACATAGTTAAGGGTAATATCCATACAGGTTATGGAGACATCCTCATTCCACCACATACTCAGGCCTCCTGCTCTACTCCCCAGGGAGATAACGGTCGAACAACTCTCGCCCCCGGTAAAACCACACGAATCCCGTAAAATCTCATTTTCAACTACCATTTGTTTTGTTTCCATTAGGAAAACCACATTGAGGGATGTGCATCACAATAAAGCTCGCAACGAATTAACTGACCGCTTATTCCCCAATCAGCGGCAGTTGCAACATAAGATTCTCATATATTCTTTGAAGGGGATAGGTTCCCCGCACCATGCTTCGTTGTAGTCACCTTTGGGATGAGATCAGTCTTATCTTTATCCAACGATCTACTGTCCTGACCAGTGGAGGGAACCATGGTCGTATCCTTCATCTGGACCTGCTTCACTTTCCCAGTTGCGTCTTAGGAGGCTTTCTGGGTTCCCGACTTACCCGAGGCATGTTTTGTCGTCCGTTTAGGTTTGTTTATAGAACTATTACTCACCCAGTTAGCTGGGACATGCAAGGGGTTCTGCTGCATGGTGATATCAGTTGCTACGTGGCTATGAGGGAGGCTAGCGCTACCCAAGCAGTTAGCCATATCATTCGTTGCTGGTTCACTTGTCATCAACGTCACACTTATAGGATTGGCCATGTCAGGGGTGGTCTTACCTCCCTCTTGGGGTTCCACAGAAGGTGTAATAGTCGCATCCATATTCATCTCATTGTTCTTATCTCGAGAATCCACACTGAGCCTTTTTTCTTTGTCTACTAGCACCGTAAACCTCGACCCAGAGGGCATTTGCCACCATCCATTAGGAGTAGTTACGTGCTTCTTTGCGAATTTCCCACGTGGCTTAGCCACCATCCACCCCATATTGATTATGATTCACTTCTTCTGATTCCATCTCAGTGGGTTGTTGAGGCGTGTTCTCCTGTTGCCGAAAGAGGGTCGAGAAGGTTTGTTTAGCGTGCCCATACTTGCCAGACTCAGTGCAAATGCGATGTAAACCCTCATATTCAATACAGTACCGTATACCCTTAATTTTATATTGAGATAGAAGGGGCTTTGTAAGGTCGACTTCAACACTGACTCTAGCATAGCGCCCCGATCACCTAATTCAGTCAACCTATCCACACGGACAGGTCTGCCAATTTTTTCACCTATGCGATCTACAACCTCCTTATTGATAAATTCTCTCGGTAACCCTGGCAGTTGTGCCCAGACCATCGTCGTTGACACTTCCGCCATTTTTGGATTGAAATTTCTATGCCAGGGACGAACAGTAATATAGTAATTTCCCATCATCCAGGGGCCAACCACATCAGCAAACTCGCAGTCCACTTGACTAGTGAAGCGTACAGCATAGAAACCATAGGAGAGGCTTGATATTTGAATTAATCCAGTCTTCGCCCAGAGAGTATCAAGCCGTCGTGACATAACCGGGAAGGGAAACGAGCGTCCCAAAACTTTGACAATTAGAGCTGAGCGCCATTCCCTCCTCCAGCGTTGTTTTTCCATTGCCGTATAGGCAATCGTTGGGCACTTCAGGTCATCTTCCGACACTTCATCGTCTTGATCGTCTTCACACATAGCTTCGGCTACGTCCTCAGAATCTGATTCTGCGACATACCATTCGTTATCAGGTGATGGGTTCCTAAATAGCTTACGCTACGCCACTAGACCAGGCTGGTTCACGAGGGTGTTGTTTCGGAGAGTTCGTCGGCTCTTTGTCTTGGACAAGTGTATCTTCCTCCATGGATGTTGTTCCGAAGAGGGGGTTGTTGAACATGGGCTTCGCTCTCTTATTGGGCTGTTGGGTTTCCTTTTCTCCTTTAGCATTTGGTGAGGAGGTCACCGGTGGAGGTCTCCGAGTACCGGAGCTGAGGTTTTGCTGCCCGACGCTCGGGGGATGAGCCCCCGACGCAAGGTCAGCCATGGTTGACGGCGTTCGGCCGCGAACAGGAAAGGTTTCAGGATTCGCCGCTCCGAGGAAACCGGAGGTAGGGTTTCGCTAGTTCTTTCTCAGAATCATGAAATGAAACTAAGTAATTCATAAAAAAAAAAATAACATCAACTGACACATCAATAGTCAACACTTTGAGTGTTGACTATTATTGACTGTCAATGTTAATAAAGTTAAAAAGACAAAACAATATGCTAAGATTGTCATATTGAATACTTTATGATAGAAGGGGTCGTTTGGAAGCTGGGATTTCAGATGATATATTTAAACAATACATGTAATTAGGAGAATTCATCATTTTTTTCGTCTTAAAATGAAACACAATACTTGTATTTGATGGACCATCAATATCTCGTTTTTTCTAATAATATTTTCAAGAAACACCAAAATCATTCAATCTCCAATTAATGTATTTTTCAAAATCATACATTGAAAAATATATCTAAATAGAATACATAAATTAATTAAATGCTCGATATCAAGAATTCTAACAATAATCTAAATAGATACTCTTAATCCGTCATTCATTCATTAATTTTCCCTAAGCTTTGTACGAAAACGACGACATAAGGGTGGCAAATCTTTATCTCACAGTAGAAATGCGCAATTGGGGGAGAAAGAGATGAAACCTTAAACGAGGGAAAGAGAAAAACCGAAATGAAAACCAAAAAACATTTCAATTCAGCTGGGTCTAGGAGAAAAAAGTGCGAATTTGTGAGATGACGATTATGTTACGCCGATCTCCTTTTTGAAGCTTCAATATGCAGCAGCAGGACTAGCCATCCCACCACCATTTCTGAAGCAGAGCTCTAAGATCCGATCAGATCCGTGCCGTTCTGTTCCTCCCTCGCCCCTTTCTTTCTCTAACTCAATCCCCCGGTTTCTCTGCTTCTACCTATGCCATTTATCCCTTAGCTGCCTTCGCCCCTTCTCCTCTTTCATACACAGGTAAGCACCCAGCAAAACGAATTTCCATTTCTTGGTTCTTATATATCGCCATCTGGGTCTCCTCGACTGCCGACGCCGATTCCTGGATTCGACTGAAAGGTTTTGCCTTTTTGTTGCAATCCCTTTTTACGGGCTAGGTGGAAATGAGCAAGATCGTGACCTAGGGTTTGTAAAGTCACCGCCTTTTACGGTTTACCCCTTCAATTGTATGAGGATTTGGTGCTGCTTGTGCTTCACTTTCGACGACGAAGAAGGACCTGATAGTAAAGGATATTGTGAAGCCATGAGAGACGAAACTCTCGAGAATGACGCCCACTCTGGAGGTGTTGGCATTGGGGCTAACGGCGAGGATCCTGTGGAAGCTGCTCCAACATTCGACTATGGGGAGCTGGACATTCATGATCGGGAAGCCACGAGGTTGTTTGAAGAGATGATTAGAGCGGTGGAGGACGGCGATGCTGCGGGCGAGGCGGTGAACGCGCCGGTTTCTGACGATGGTGTTGTTGTCCCCGTTGCGTTGAGGAGGAGCAGTCTTCGGTTTGCGCAGAGGCTTCGGGGTGAGAGTAGTGGTTCGGCCACAACTGTCGCCACTGACGTTTCTGAAAATGCTATGGAGGATTGTAACAGGGACTGGTATAGCAAGCGTGCCAAAGTTTACTCTGTTTCTCAGTGAGTTCTTTACCCTTGTATCCATTAGTTCTTCTCCCGTCCTTTTTCTCCCTGAGTTTGCCTTTATCCTCTAGCAATCTAGTTCATGGCCATCATTTTGAAGATGCCACATTTGCTGATCCCAATCTATAATTAAAGCTTTGATCTTTGTCTTCATGTATTGCATATAGTATTGCACATAGGCTGGACTTGCATCACTCATTGTACAACCACAGAAAGATGCAGAGCTTTTTATCATTTAGTCTCCCCAGCTAATGCAGCTATGCAATACTTATAGTCCTTTCCTGGTCGAGTTTCTTGTTTTGATCAGCACATTAAAGAACTAAGCTAAGATTACACCCTAGGAGTGGTGGTGATGTGGCAGTAATCGTAATGGTATTGAATTACTGACAAGTTACCTTTTCTGTATGATAATCAATGGCTTCAGTGATTGCCATTATGACACACTGATGTCTCCAGACGCTGGCCATTCTGGTTCTTCAGAGCCCATGAACTTCGACTTCACCCAGAATCGTGGTGTTTCATCTGAGGATGCGATAGTTTATCATAATTTAATCTGGAATAGCAGCAATGATGAAACTTCCTTTGGTTCCCATAGTGGGGGAGATGGTGGAGATGGGAGTGGCCCTTCTAAGTCAGACGATCTTGAAGTTAGAATGGATCTTTCAGATGATCTTTTGCATATGGTAAAGTGCTCTGATTTTGTGCTCGTTCCTTGCCTCATCCACCTGTTTCTGAATCTAATTTGCGTTTTCCAACTTTTCCTAAGGTCTTGTCTTTCTTGGGTCATGTTGATCTTTGTCGAGCTGCAATGGTTTGTAAGCAGTGGAGAACAGCTAGTGCCCATGAAGATTTTTGGAGATATTTGAATTTTGAGAATCGCAATGTAACAGTAGAACAATGTAAGTCTTCTTTATCCAACAGTAGCATGCAGCTTATGTTTTACATCTCCGAACTCAACTGGGCAGTACCCTGTTCTTTTCAATTTTATTTTGCTGGAAGAAATTTATTAGATGAACTAGTGACTGTTCATGTAGTGGAATATATAGTTTTATTGTTAAGCTGTGAGAATGTCAGAAATTGCTAATGAGGTTGGATGTGTTTATCACTTTATACATTGGTTTGGGTTCTTAGATAACTTTTTTGTTTGTTTTGGGACAGTAGGCTCTTCGATTTTATTGAAATTTGCACTCAAGATTTTTGGGCTTCACTGAAATTAGCATTGAAGCAGATAAGGGGGTGAAGCACACAGATTTTAGAGTGCTGTTAGCCTGACCTGTACTTCTTCTCTTTCTGCTAGTGTTAGGGATCAAATTTGGTTGAGTTAGCTCCATAAGCTGCATTTATATTATTTTTGTACTTTATGATGCTAGTGATGTCTTATTAGATTATATGTTTTTTTTTTGTGGAACCTTATTGCTGGATGCAAATTTTTTATAGTTGAGGATATGTGCCATCGTTACCCAAACGCAGTGGAGGTGAATCTTCATGGTGCTCCTTCTCTTCACTATCTTGTCATGAAAGCAGTTTCATCATTAAGGTACCTGAATTTTATACTATTTCCACGTTTTTGCATAGCTCAATAATATTCATGTAATTACCAGTATAGTGTGTGTTGCAGATATTTAACTGCCTCTATAGTGTGTGCCTCTTTGTTTGGTTAGATGTATAATTGCCACTATAGTGTGTGCCTTGAGTGTTTTAGATATATACTTTAATTACCACTATAGTGTATGCCTCTTGATTATTTTAGATATATATTTGCTGGTCGAACTGTGTCTTATGTGTTTTTACTCTCAGAAACCTCGAGACTTTGACTTTGGGAAGAGGACAGCTGGGGGATCCATTTTTTCATGCTCTGACAGATTGCAACTTGTTGAGGAGTTTGAATGTGAATGATGCTACCCTGGGAAATGGTATGCAGGAGATACCTATAAACCATGACAGATTGCAAAATCTTCAGCTTGTCAAGTGTCGTGTCCTGAGGATATCCATCAGGTGAAAGATGTTCACATTTTTAAACAAAACCTACCATTACTTATATTTGCCTATCTGATGCTGATATACATATCTTGCAGGTGTCCAGAGCTTCAAACTTTGTCTCTGAAGCGCAGCAACATGGGGCAAGCTGTACTGAATTGCCCCCTTCTGCGTGTCCTTGATATTGCATCCTGTCACAAGCTTTCCGATGCGGCAATTCGATCAGCTGCAATTTCATGCCCTCAATTGGAGTCCTTAGATATGTCGAATTGTTCTTGTGTCAGTGATGAGACATTACGTGAGATAGCCCAAACTTGTGCTAATCTCCATATTCTTGATGCTTCTTACTGTCCGAACGTATCTCTAGAGGTCAGCTCTAAGATCTAACTGTTTTGTGATAAACAGTCAACTGGTATCGTTGATAGATAATCTTACACTTTCTTTGGTTTTCACTGTAGTCTGTAAGGCTCCCACTGTTGACTGAACTCAGGCTTCACAGCTGCGAGGGTATCACTTCGGCTTCAATGGCTGCAATTTCTTATAGTTATATGCTCGAGGTCTTCTTTTTTCTTCTTGCTATCCACTCTTCAATAGAGAACTTGAATGATTTTCTTGATAAAGGATTGATGACATAGTCTTATTCAGGTCTTGGAGCTTAACAATTGCAACTTATTGACTACTGTATCATTGGATCTTCCTCGTTTGAAGAGCATAAGCTTAGTACATTGTCGCAAGTAATTCTGCTTCACCATTTTGGCATTTTGTATTTTCACAATTAGGTCCTTGCTTTCAGTTTGAACTTCTGATAGTTATGTGTTGTCGTGGCTTGCTACCTCTGTAGATTTGTTGATCTGAATCTAAGAAGCGCGACACTATCTTCTATTATGGTGTCTAATTGCCCATCACTCCATCGCATCAGCATAACTTCCAATTCTCTGAAAGTATGTGCTATTGCAGAGTAGTTAATTATTTGTTTTACTATCTTTCATGCTATCTTAGGTAACTTAATAACATACTTCCTTTGCGGCATGCAGAAACTAGCGCTGCTGAGGCAGGAAAACCTTACTACCTTGGCTTTACAATGCCAATGTCTCCAAGAGGTTGACCTCACGGATTGTGAATCATTAACCAATTCTATCTGTGAGGTATTTAGTGATGGCGGGGGGTGTCCAATGTTGAGGTCATTGATTCTGGATAATTGCGAGGTACATGGGGTTCTCTTTCGTCCTCTTTCTCGGTTCTCTTCTTTGTGCAGCTAGATTTTGAGACAGGTTTCTGCTCGGTTGTAGAGGCCTGTCACCTGTGGTAATGCTGTCATTTTTATCTGTACTGAGCCTTACAACTCACGCTAAGCTGGTTTTTACTTTACATGTTGACGTTCTTTAATTGCATTGATCCTTCTGTTTATACATGCTGCCTCATTAAAGTTTGACATGATTGCCTTTTGAGAGAAATTGAGTCTTGTAGAATAGGCAGGCATGGAAAGTTTGCTTCTTAACAACAATGACAATCCAGTAGTATCAGGCAACAGAGTTGTGAACTCCTGGCTGTAACTATCATAGATACATGCAGATCTCTCTAGGAACTTTTTTTGCTCACTTGTTAGGCATGCTCATTTGAAAACAAGTGTGTTTGTATATGCATGGAAAATATGTTCATCTAGGACAATCTAGACACCTCTTCGCCACTCTTGTAGTCCTGTGTCAAAGGTATGCCTAGAGGTGGACAAGGGCAGAGGAAGGATCGAGGAGAACTTTCATCATATTTGAGGTGCTCAGCAAGTGAAAATTGAGCATACTAGCTTTACATGATCCATGTAACCAACCTTGATCCTTGTGATGATGCTTTTGTGTCGTCTCTCTGGGCACTAATGATATTTCAAGGGGCACAGGGTCATGATATGTCATTAAGTTCAAAGAGTTGAACAAATTTGGTCCTTTTGCTTCACTTACGTCAAATAAATATTGAGATATTCCATACACTCTTTTGCTGCTCTAACATGCCATCATTTCCCCCCCAATGTTTGCAGGGCTTGACGACAGTAAGATTCTGTAGCACATCTTTGCTCAGTCTTTCTCTAGTTGGTTGCCGCGCTATCACTTCTCTTGATCTGATATGCCCCTATCTTGAGAAAGTATGTTTAGATGGTTGTGATCATCTAGAGAGAGCATCATTTTTTCCTGTAAGTGAGAATCACGGGGCACATCATGGCTAATCATATGATTGTACCTTTTGACTATGTTTGTTTGTGGCTTCTGTTTTGCTTCCCTGTTCACCCAAAAAAGAAACTTCTGCCTCTCCAGGTTGCACTTAGGTCTTTGAATTTGGGAATATGTCCCAAGTTAAGCATCCTTAAAATTGAAGCCCCCTCCATGGTGTCCTTGGAGTTGAAAGGCTGTGGTGTACTATGCGAGGCATCCATCAACTGCCCACTTTTGACTTCCCTTGACGCTTCATTTTGCAGGTAATTTGGCTTTTTATTGGTTGTGGACTTGTCTGTTTCATAAGTTCCTAAGGTTGAAGTTTATTGGTTGTGGAGTTACCTGTTTCAGAAGTTCCTACGGTTGACCATACCATTCGTTTTTTTTTAAATATGTGCAGCCAACTGAAGGATGACTGCTTGTCTGCAACTGCTGCATCCTGCCCATTGATTGAATCGTTAATCCTCATGTCTTGCCCCTCTGTTGGCTCCGATGGGCTTTACTCTTTGCACCGGCTTCCCAATTTGACTGTGCTGGACCTGTCATACACCTTTTTAATGGATCTGCTGCCTGTTTTTCAGTCTTGTTTGCAGTTGAAGGTAATCAAGACCCTACTATGATTCCTTTCATAACCAGTGCACATATTTTTTATCTGTGTAATTCTATGAATGTTTGAAGTGGCCGCTAAGTTACACTTTGCGGATAGAATAAGCCACTTTATCTGCAACTAGGAGACTCAAATGTGGTCATCAATGATTTTTTGGCATTCACTTTCTTATACCCTGATTTTTTTTATATCATTACTACCCCTTTTTAGGTGATTAATGTTCTATTCTGGTATTTACTAGTGACAGGTCTGACAGTTAAATGCCAAATCTCTATACAACCTAGTGGCATATTCCTCAATCTGATTGTGTCTTCCTGTTTTTGGAGGTTTCTCAATCTTTAAGTTGTAGGTCAATAGTTGAAGTTTGGTTGTTCAGTTGTTCTTATGCTGCCATTTCTTGTTTCTGAATATTTCTCACATAACCATGTAAATTATCAACCCTTTATTCACTTATCTTATTGTTTGAAGGTACTTAAATTACAAGCTTGCAAGTATCTGACTGATGATTCCTTGGAGCCACTCTACAAGGGAGGTGCTCTACCTATGCTCCAAGAGTTGGATTTGTCATATGGGACCCTTTGTCAGTCAGCAATAGAGGATCTTCTTGCTTGCTGTACTCACCTTACTCATTTAAGCTTGAATGGGTGTGTGAATATGCATGACCTAAATTGGGGTGGTAGTGATGGTCGAGCGTCAGAGTGGCCAGCTATTAATAGCTCACGTGCTTCTTTTTCACTTGAGGATAACTATATGGCAATCGAGCAGCCGAATCGGTTGTTGCAGAACCTCAACTGTGTTGGTTGTCCTAATATTAAAAAGGTTCATATCCCACCAATGGCCCGATGCTCTCATTTGTCATCGCTTAACCTTTCTTTGTCTGCCAATTTGAAGGAAGTCGATATTGCTTGTTTTAACTTGGGTGTCCTCAATTTAAGGTATGCGTTCTTTTGGTAGTTACGTCTACATTTGACTCTTATTGTATATAGTGCTCACCGTTGGTGTTTATATGTCATTCAGCAATTGTTACTCATTGGTGATACTGAAGCTCCAGTGTCCCCGATTGACAAGTTTATTTCTTCAGGTATGATCCTATCTGAATATGACGTTTTTTAATGAACTTTGTCAGTATGTTTGTTGCTTTCGAAGTCTTTGCTTCGGGTCTGGATGCATGCTTAAAATTGTGAAAAACAACGAAGATGTAATTGTTTTGTTGCTATGTTTGCGTGAGGTAGTTGTTCTTCCCTTTGTGTTTATGTGTGCAATGAATGAGTGGAAGTGCTGGTCAGACAGGGGTATCCTGTCCCTGGTCATTCAAGGTTGTTCAATGTTGGAGACTAGTTGAAGATGACCTCATTTTTGTTTAAAACTTGATCATCTTGTCTTGACTTAACCCTTTCTTCTACCAACTCTGGACTTGAAACTTGGAGTAAAAATAATTTGTGTAAAAAATCCCAAGGAACCTGGTGGCAATGGGGGATATGATAAACACCCAACTGCCAGGCTGACCCTCGGGAGTCTAACATCACTTGGAGGAAAAAAGTAGAAAAGTAACCCGTGAAAAATCTTCCATCTTTATACTTTATATTTAGAATCTTTGTTATGCGGCAAAAGATTGTGTCAGTTTTCTGGGCTATTGTATTCTGTACTTTTGCTCATTTTTCCTATTTGTCAAATTTCATTAAAGTCCTGCAACATCAACGAAGAAGCTGTTGAAGCTGCTATTTCCCAGTGTAACATGCTCGAGACTCTGGATGTACGCTTTTGCCCAAAGGTGAGGAGATCTTGGTGAATAGATTTACTGTTGTATTGCGTTGCAAACTGAATGCTCATTGCGGGGTATTATTTTGTGTCGAGATTCTAGGTATTCTCAATAAGCATGGGCCGGTTGCGAGGAGCGTGCCCAAGTCTAAAGCGGGTATTCAGCAGCCTACTGTCATCTTCTTGATGTGAGCGAAGAAATAATTGCCCTCCTTGTATAATGTTGCAGCAGCATATTGCAGGTGTCTGCATGCACAACTTGTATAACAAATCTCTAACCATGGATGTCATCTATGGTTGTAAATGTAGTGTTTCTCCTCTGTGCTGTGCTTGTGGTATTGTACTTTAGCCTTAGTGTATTTGTAGTCCTGGATCTTGACCCATGTAATACTTATACAAATACACCGTGTGGCTTGGTGTTTTAATCATGTGTTCCTTGGCCGATTTTCCTTATCGCCTACAGCTGCTGTAAAAAGATGGTTTTCTTTTTTGGTTTCATATCCATGCGACTGTTTTATTGCCTGCAATATGCATGGTCTTACTTTCTCTTCCATGCGGAATCACGGCTCGACAGACTTGAACTGCAAACAGTAATTGACAGAGAAAGGGCTAGATAAAATTAAAACGCGGCATTAGAACGAGGGAATTGAAGTATCCTCTACATTCTTGCGAGCATTGTTGTGCAACTCGGAAGTGTAGGGTACTGCATTGAGTTGGAAGCTGCCATGAGAAGTTTTGAACTAAACTGTTACAAAATTGATTCGAGCTGTTTGAGCTCGGGGTCTTGGATCTCTGGTTGTGTATCCGCTTCTCCTTCTGGTGCATTGTAGGCATCTGCAATAGCTCTCCCCTTATCCAGTACCTCTGGAGGAACAGTGTTCAGGAGGCTGCAAAAGGCAGGAGGAAGCACCGGTAAGCATCTGGATTTTAGGCAATATTACATTTGCTGCAGTGACATGGGCACAAAGCCATGGAGCCTTGAACTCTTTTCTTTCATGAAAGAAAGCCGAAGGTTGTTGAGGGCAATCGATCACCTGTCCAACGCTCTAAGAGCATCAACTATCTTTGCTTTCATCAATTTGACTGAGGCATCTGGATTGTTTCTTGATGCTCGAAGGAACAAGGAATCAAGATCCTCCAATGCTCTACAATCACATGAGACAAACGGCTTCTAAGCGCCAAAACATTGGCCCGTTGATGGAGCTCTGTTGGTGGGACTATTACCTACCTGAGACACTGATCTACGTCATTGAATGCTGCTTTCCCATTTCCTGCATCGGATGCATATTGCGCTACCTGAAATTCGGTTTCCCAACATCGAATTGCAGGGAAAAGGGAATCATAGGTCAAACAATGGTGCAAGAAACGCACTTTCCTGATGTCATACAGGCAAAAGAAAGTGACCAAATATGGCTTTCACCATTTCGATCGGCAAGCAAGCGAAGTGAGAACATCAAGTCTTTGAACTTACTGCTCGAATGTTTACACGAAGTGATCCTGCTGGACCGGACCGCAGTAAGGTCCGGCAACTGGCAAATTCAGGCTTATCGACCTCCAGAGTTTTCTCTAAATACATGGGAAATTTCGTGAAGTTTGATTAGCTTTCAAGGCTCAAACGAAGATAGAATGTGGGTTGATACAAAACTGTTTTCCACATGCTCAGTCACGGTACAATTTTCATAACATTCCTCTAAAAATTTGAAGGAAAGTATCTAGCATTTACCCAAATCCTTGATCTGTATCTCAGTCAATATCACTGCTGGCACGTATACCTCCAGAGGGTCAAGCTTCTTCCTAAAAAAAGAAAAGGAAACCAGAAGATGCAACCCATTTCGCCATTGGAGAAAAAAACAGCAGGAAAAAAGGGAGGAACGAAGAGTCCTGTATTTTCTTTTTTACCTTTTAACATACTTATCCAACAAGCTGCCTGCAAATGCATCTGCAAAAAGTTGAAACGAAACAACCCAATGATTGATGTTTTTCCAGGGCCCTAACTTATCAACGTCACTGTGATGTGTAGCGATGCGGCTTACTGTTCGGTGGAAGTAGAAACTGCAGCTGAGAGGCGAGAAGGGAAATGGATAGCAATCGACGGCGGCTGCCTTCCGATTCTGGACTGCCGATCAAGCTACACCTTACCGCTTCAAATTTCTTTCGGTGTTTTCCAGAGGAGAAATTTGGTAGAGCTGTGGTGCTGAACCGATTCGCTGTCGCTCTAGCATTGGTCTGAAGCGCGGCAGCCATTGTCGCAGAACCGAAGCATCCGTCGACGGCCTTTCTTTCTCCCACTTCACGGAGCTGACTAGGTGGCCGCTAAGCTCTTCGAAAGGAGAAGGCAGTGCCACGTACATCTTATCTGTTTTCTTCTCCCCTGTTTTCTACGGCTACTACCACTACAACCCTCCTCGGAGGGGTAAGTTGCCACTTGCCGACCCGACATCCGAATTATCTAAAAAATGTCATTTGTGTAAATGAAGACCGGGTCTAATGCCATTTCCTTCATTATCTCCACTCAACAACCTTTTGTTATTCTGTTCCTAATATTGCTCCCACTACTAGTACTGATCTTGTAACTATACTGTATAAATTGGCCATTGATTCATCAATGAAATCACACAGAAATTCCCAGCTCGTACATGGTATCAGAGCCGAACAGCCTAACGGCAAATTGAATTTTCTTTTCCCCTTCACCCCTTCTGATTTTACAGCTTCTGGTCCTTTTGATTTGATTTGTAGTGATGTTTGGGGCCCTTCCCCTGAACTTTCTGTCGATGGTCATTTCGATTATATTTTATTCTACGATCATTATAGTAAATTCACATGGGTCTTTCCCACTCATTATCGCTCCAATCTTCTCTCCATATTTATCACATTTCGCATGTGGAAAAATTCTTCAATCGACCCATAAAATTTTTTCAAGCAGACTGGGGTGGCGAGTACCAGAAATTAGGCTCTTATCTCAAAGAAAATGGCATCCTTCACCGCTCCTCTTGTCCTTACACTCCCGAACAAAATGGTTGCGTCGAACGCAAACACAAACACATTGTCGAAACGGGTTTGGCTCTTCTTCACCATGCCTCGATTCCTCTAAAATTCTGGTCCTATGCATTCGATACTGCCGCCTTTCTCATTAATCGCTAGGGCTGGTATTCGGTAAACCGATATTCGGTATAACCGGGTACCGAACCGGTTACAATCGGTATTCGTATACTGAATACCGGCGGTATCAGTATTCGGCTGCACTTCTTGGCCAAATGGTATACCGAATACCGATTAGTTATATACCGACGGTAAAGCGGTATACCGAATACCAAATTAAAAAAAAAGAGAAACGACAGCTTAGCGGAATTGGAGAACCCTAAATGGCTAAAGCAATTTTTCTCCAGCCGCCCTCCACCTCGTCCTCGTCTCTGTTCCTCTCCAGCCGCCCTCCACCTCGTCTCTGTTCGTAAGGAGAAACGACGAAACCCAGCGGCCGCCGGCCAACATCGACAGCCAGCACGCCGCGGCGCCGCTCTCCATTGCCGACCAGCATTCGTCTGTCTTCCACTCTTCCTCTTCGCCAGCAGCAGTCCCTGCACCCTTTCGTCGCGAAATTCGTCACTCAAAACACCACTAGCAGCCAGCTTGCCGCGGCGCCGCGCTCCTCCCCAGCCCCTCGTCTGTGTTCCTCTTCGCCAGCAGCAGTCGCCACTCGCTAGCACCGAGCCCTCTCTTCCTCTTCTTTTCACTTCGACATCGCCCAGCAGGCAGGGGCAGTAGCAATCCCTTTTTTTTTGGAGAAAAACAGCAGCAGTCCGCCAGTCCCCGACTCCCCGTGTCTGTATACCGGTATCGGTATTAAGTCGGTATACCGGCTCGAAAACATAATCTCAATGCACTAACCAGTATTTGGTATACCGGTATTAATATCGGATATCGAATATTAAGTATTCGGTATATCGGATAACATTCGGTATCGGTATTCGATGGGTACACTGTCTGGTTCTCGTATACCGAATACCGGCTAATCGATATCCGGTATACCGGATAATGACCGATTACCAGCCCTATTAATCGCATGCCCACCCCTCTGCTCGCTAATTGCTCTCCACTCGAAGTTCTCTACTCCCAAAAACCAGATTACTCCAGTCTCCGCATCTTTGGTATGCTCTGCTACCCTTGGCTTCGCCCTACTACTCGTCAAAAACTACAACCTCGTTCTGCCCCGTGTGTTTTCCTTGGCTACAGCTCCACACACAAAGGCTATCGGTGTTATAATCTTGCTACCAACAAAGTCCACATTTCTCGACATGTTCTTTTCGATGAACAATGCTTTCCCTTCTCTAACCCCAAATATCTCCCATCATATGCGCACTAGAGGAAAAACAGGCCATCTGAAACCCAAAACCTTTCTTTCCACCTCCCATCCTCCGCTACCTCCCATTTCCAAAACCGTCCGTCAAGCACTGCAGGATCCCCATTGGCGTGCTGCCATGCTCGAAGAATACAATGCCCTGCTCCGAAATCACACCTGACTCCTTGTCCCGCCTGCTACTGATCAAAATCTCATCTCCTCTAAATGGATTTTCCGAATCAGAACTCGGTCCGACGGTTCCATCGAGCGCTTCAAAGCTCGCCTTGTCGCCCGCGACTTCCAACAGCGCCCCGGAATCGACTTCGGCGAGACATACAGTCCCGTCCTCAAACCAACAACACTATGACTCATCCTCTCCCTCACCGTGTCACAAAATTGGCCGGTGCGTCAATTGGACATCGCCAATGCGTTCCTCCATGGCAGCCTCTCTGAACCAGTTTATATGCAATAACCACCATGATTTGTCGATCCAGCTCGACCCAACCACGTCTGCCATCTCCGGAAATCACTCTACGACCTCAAACAAGCGTCGCGAGCCTGGTTCCATTGTCTTTGCCAAGCATTGGAGTCCTATGGATTCAAGGGGTCCAAAACCGATCCCTCCTTGTTCATCCTCCGCCGCGGCGCCCTTCGCCTCTATGTCCTAGTTTACATGGACGACATTTTGCTCACTGGGAATCAAGGCTCTGCCTTTCATTCGCTTCTTCTGTTTTTGCAGGGAAAGTTTTACGTTCGCGATCTCTACCGTCTAAACTACTTCCTTGGCATTCAGGCTCACTGGACTCTCACGGGTCTCCTGCTCACACAACAGAAATACATACAATCTATACTCGACCGAGCCAAGATGAGTGATGCGAATTCCATCTCCACACCTGCTGCACCAGCTACAAAGGACCCGATCTGACCCCCTTCAGTGACCCATCCTTATATCGTCAGATCGTGGGAGCTCTTCATACCTCCAGTTCACTCGGCCAAACATCTCGCATGCAGTCAATTATTCAGCCCAACATATGCACAAACCATTGCAGCACCACTGGTCCGATGTCAAGAGGATTCTCCGTTACCTCAATAGTACTTCTACCCATGGCCTCTTCTTCAGCAACACTTCTCCATTGCTTCTCTCAGGCTACTCTGACGCGGCATGGGCAAACTCCATTCCCGATCGTCGATCCACCACCGGATATGCTGTCTACATCGGCTCTCATCTCATCTCCTGGTCATCCCGCAAACAGCGCACAGTTGCACACTCATCCACAGAAGCGGAATACAAGGCCTTAGCCACTCTAGCTGCATAGATTGTTTGGATCGAGTCACTTCTAACTGAGATCGGCCAGCCACTTACCTCTCCTCCCAAGCTATGGTGTGATAATCCAGGTGCAACATACCTCACAGCCAACCCCGTCTTTCACGTGCGCAGCAAACACATAGAAATAGAATTTCACTTCGTCTGCAAACGAGTAGATGCTGGTCGCCTACTGGTTCGTTACATCTCCACTGAAGATCAAGTTGCTGATCTCCTCACCAAGCCTCTACCTCGTCAGCGTTTTCTACATTTCCGAGACAAGTTGAAGGTTATTCACCATCAACTTGCGGGGGTGTGTTAAGGAAGACCGGGTCTAATGCCACTTTCTCCATTATCTCCACTCAGCAACCTTCTGTTATTCTGTTCCTAATATTGCTCCCACTACTAGCACTGATCTTGTAACTATACTGTATAAATTGGTCATTGATTCATCAATGAAATCACACAGAAATTCCCAGCTCGTACAATTTGTATTTATTGAATATTACATTCATATTTCGAACTATATGAGTTTGTGACATTTGTGTCCTTACATCTTACATTGACCGTTAAAAATAATTGTTGACTGGATGAGATCAAACTATTGTTGACTTTCGCTGATTTGGCAAAAATGTGTCGTCCATGTAGATGTCACATCATTGACAAGTCATTATTTAATTTAAAATTAAATCAAATTATAATAAAGAAAATAAAAAATTATTACAAAATTTAAAAGATAATTGTTGGGCTCTACCCTCTCTGGCTATGCGTCATCCTCGTCGTCATGAACCGGACCTGCTACTAGACAGTCAAGATTTTTGGGGAGATTTATCTCAGGTTGCCGACGAACACTCGAGTCGCGACTTTGGGCAGATTTTTTGCCAGATGGAACCCGAGCCGATGGGTGGGAGGTAGCCCGTGGGTTTTGGCCAGATTTTTCGCAGCTTCTTTTGGATCTACCTCGACCTTGGTATCCGAATAAGTAATTGCTGGTGGAGCAGGTATTAGCACTAGTTCGTGGTTGGCCATGGCCTCCGCACTTCTACCTTCTATACAGATTCTCGATTCGTTTGAGTCTCAGATTCTAGCAAAATCACTGGTGAAGATTCTTATTGCTATGTTGCTGTAGATTCTAAATATTTCTCATTAAGATTGCGGTTCTAGGTGGGGTAAGGGCGTAAAATACAAACAAAAGATCAGGAGGAGCGACAATAGGTGGATTCTGTTGTGAATGTAGATGGCGGATCCGGCGATGATGTAGACGGAAACACCGAAAATTGGCCTCCTCATAAGGCTTGAGACCTTGCACATCATCGACAACAATGAAGAGGCCGAAAACTCGTCGACTTCTCCCAACTCTCCGCCGAATGGAGTTGAATGGATCTAGTCGGGCCTCTTGGCAGCCAATAACTCGTCAAAGTCCTCCGTCAACCGCAAATGCTCAAATTAATTATTTTTATTTAGTTCCTTATTTTTCACTTCTCTACATTATGTTTGGTTTGACAATATCGATATTGACGAACCTCAAACACTCTATCTCGAGATGAAAATTGATAAATTAGCTATAATAGTTAATTGATAATTAAAATGAGTGCGTGTCTAATTGAGTATGATTGACCTTACAAACATTTGTTGTATGATTCAAAAAAAAATTATTGACATATATACATATATATATATATATATATATGGTGACGTCTACGGTGCCCAGGGCAAAATCCGGGTACGGGTACCTTGGCCGATCTTAACCATTCGTTTTCAATCTCCACGGCTCACGTTTGTTAAACCTTCATGCGCACTAAATAACTAAACAAATTACAAAAAGGCTCTTGCCGCGTTAAGTTTTTTTTCATCCTAGTCCAACTAACTGACCCGATTAAATTAAATTGATTAAGACTGCAAACCCAATTGGGTAGACCCACTGCCGCCCTAACCAATTTCCAGTCTCCCTAACCAATTACACGATCCCTCTCTCGTCTTGGAGGGACACCCCTTCACAGTTCCAAGAGACGCTCCCCATCCAATTTGAACTCCCCAACTTAATCATCTTTTTGAATCCCAATTACTTGCATCCACATTCGATGTAGCTTGAATTTCCCAATTTATTTTGTCTTGTTTCTTCTTCGCCATTTTATTTCCCCTCGCCTATCTCTTTCTAACACGATTACGGCGACCGTGTCTATTATTTTGTTCATCGAACTTTTCATTTGCAAAAGAACCCTTGAAAGAGGTTTGCTAACCCTAGGGTTCATGTCGCTAGTGCTTTGTCATCTTGTCTTAGCGTTATTGTGATTTTCTCGAACCTTATATCTCATGGAGAGAAAAGGAGAAACAATACAACGAAGGATTTAGTTTAACAGTCATGATCTAACAATGACATAATGAAAGGAAATGAGATCTAAAATAATACGCAGTCTCATCATTACCACTGCACCCAAAAATAAAGCATGGGATAGGAGGACGAAGAGGCGGATGGGGTTGATTTTCGGAGTTTCATATTGAGAAGATGGAAGAAAGGGTTCTTTTCAGGGATTGAGAGGAGGAGGAACGAACAGCAGCAGGAGATGAGTGCCACTCGGGTTTCGGAGCACCGTCTCTCCTTCACTGATTAACGAATTTAAAGATTGACTCGTAATTACTTTTACTTTCCCTCCCTTCACATTTACTGAAAATTACACTCCCTACCACTGCCTCGGCCTTGGTAACGCCAGCATTGGTTATGGGCAAAAGCGACTTTCCGAATTCGGCAATATCTGATTGGGTGACACGCACGCGACAAGGATCGAAGGTATTTCACCATCGGATTAAGGGAAAAGTTTAGGAATTGACGGTGGGAAATGGGGATGTGCTTTTATAAATAGTCTGAGTTTGTAGATTAACCAACTTTTTCGTTTACCAACATTACTCTATTGATCTGGTTTATGTTATTCTAGCTTGAATCATAACCCTAAACCCTAAACCAAACCCTAATACACGAACCAATCAATACCATATACTCTACAACAATAACAACACCTTATAGGCTTATACCGTAACCAATCAATAACATATATACTTTAAACCATCAACACCTTGCTCCTCCCTTATACCATAACCTTCAAGACCTTATACTGTATACCAACAACACCTTCTTCTATCTCCATCCCCAACTTTCAATTTATAATAAGTGTTTCCTTTGAAATATAAAATGGAACCCACCTTGGCAATTGCTAGCATAATTTAGGGATGTAGATGAATAGAAATTGATAAGTGATGAATTGCTAAAATTGATGATGTGGCGGTAGGGACCTCGTTTAGAAATTGTTGTTCAATTTTAGGGATGAAGATGATCAATACACTAACCCAATACCATATACTCTAAACCATCAACACCTTATACAATATCGTATTTTAGGGATGGAGATGATCAATACACTAACCCAATACCATGTACTCTAAACCATCAACACCTTATACAACATCGTATACCTATACGCTGATAAATTAAAATTATAACTTGCTTTTCAAAACATAAATTAAAAATTGATACTCACTAAGTATCGAACCACAAACCTCTACTTTATTGACTAAGCAAATAACGGACAATGAACCAATTAAGCTACATCACATTGATGACCATTTTGCATAATTTCGCTTTCTTATTAAGTGAAGGGTTAAAATGAACGATAAATATATCACAGAGGATTGTTTCAACTTCGGCGGGGACTGAGAGAGTGGAAAAGGGGTAATTATTCTACCAAAAAAGAAAAGAAAAGGGGGAATTAACGAAGAGTTAAATTGGACGGATTGTCTTTAGCACGCCACTACCACCCAAAATCCTTCGGAGCAAAGACGTGTTGGTTCAAGTCAAAGAATAAATGAAGAAAGATGAAGTTAAGAACTCTAACTAATTTTGATTCCATATGTGGCGAATCGCTAATGGGCGGGATAACCAACATGGCAAAATCGTTAATGAGAACCTACTTTGCACACACCAAATCATTTTATCTCGTACCGATAAATGTGTAAAGAGACACGCTACAATAATTATGTCTAAATTTCCTGATAATAAGGCATGATCAGCATTTATAAGAAGATGTTAAGACAATATAAAATCGAGAAAAATTAAACAACACCTACCCTCAGCCGAATCAATCAATACAATATGCTCTGGACCATCAACAATTCAACACCTTATAAACCATCCCATATACCATATACTCTAAACCATATACCATATACCATATACTCTAAATCATCAACAACCTAATACACTAACCAGTCAGTAATCATTAACTTAACCATAAACACCTTATACAATAATCGCATACCTATACGCTGATAAAATTTTACATTTTGAAAATACTTGCCCAAGTAAAGTACACAAGTACTTCAAAAGCGAAATTCTAACTTTCGTTTCAAAACATAAATTTAAAAAATGTCCTCACTAAGTATCTAACCACACGCCTCTAATTAGTCTACAAGAGGTTTGTTATGTCAAGAGGGGCAAACAGTGAGAGAGTGGAATAGGGGCAATTAATAAAGAGTTAAATTGGGCGGATTGTTTTTTACCTCGTACCGATAAATGTGTAAATAGACACGCTACCATTTACCGAATCCCAAAAAAAAGATGGAACACATAATTGTGTTTAAATTGCGTGAACGCAAGACATGATCGGCGTTTAGAAGCAGAAGCAGAAGCAGACGCAGATGTAAATAAAAGCCCAACCTCTTCACAATCCGGATCATGTACACAAGCCCACTTTTGAAGGGGATTTAAAAGCCCAACTAGACTTTGTCCTAAACGCACCGTTAATACATAAACACAAGTTATGGCGACCTCTCCATCTGATTCGAATCAAATTCTGTCTTCTTCCATCTTCTTCCTCAATTAGGTCGAAGACTGTGTTGCTTATTTCATCTTCAATTTGTGTAAATTCCAGTCGGAAATAAAATGGCGAAGAACAAAACGTCGATTGTGGATACAAGGAAACGATGATTATGTGGAGATTTTAGATTCTGGTCGGAAATAAAATGGCGAAGAACAAAACGTCGATTGTGGATACAAGGATTTGTGGTTCATAATGATGATTATGTGGGGATTTTAGATTGAAAAGGGATCTTCTCTTCGAACGTGGATACATAGATTTGGGGTTCAAAACATGGTGATGTTGGGGATTTGATATTGGATTGGGAGCTAAATCGAATGTCGATCAAATGATAAAAGGATTTGAGATTTAAGATTTCAGAAACGATGATAAAAGGCTTATGTTCGAACTTCGAACTAAGAGGGGACGTCCCCTCCAAGACGAATGAGGGACTAGAAATTGGTTAGGGCGGCGGGTCGTATCCATAGGGTTTAACCTCTTAATCGATATAATTAAACCGGGTACAGTTAGGTTGAAGTCCAATGAGCAACGCTTAAACGCTTCATGATGCTTTTGGTAATTTTCCTTGCTCCCGGTTACCCGTACCCCGGATTTTGCCCTGGGCACCTTAGAACTGCCCATATATATATTGTAACGAGCTACGTGTAAACGATAATGTGCATATGATCCAATTGAAATCAATGTTATACATATTTATTACCAACAACATAATTTTCTACCACGACATTGTTAATTTGTTAAAAATAACATTATTTCAACTACCGGTGGGGATGACAATCAAACCCATGATCGCGGACACCCGACTGCCTTCGACGAAGTCAATGCGGGGAATCCCCGTATACCCGCTCCATACCTATCAAAAATTTTGCGGGTTTACCGGCTCATACCCACTCCATATCCATACCCGCCCCACCAAAAACATTTCTTCACACATAAAAATACATTGATCAAATTGTAACATATCAATAATAGTGAAGGTAACTCAAGACAATATATAACCACCCAAATCCAAATACAATTCCTTTACTTCAATTATCCTTTCATTCTTTCACTTTTTCCTCTTGTTAACAAGATAATTGTGTTAGTTAATTATTACTTAATAGATATATCAGAGTTCGAAACTAATGATTTGAAAAATATTGTACTCTATCTTATTGATTAATAGATGTTTTAGGATCATATGACTTGAACCGTATTAAGAATGATTGTATATTTATTGACTTCATGATATTGTATGTCTATTTAGCATTATAATTGATAATTTACATGTAAAGTCTTAGGTATAATGATGTTGGATGTACGGGGCGGGTATTACCCATGGGTCCCCGAAACCCACGGGTATGGGGATGGGTTTGCAAAATCTTCCCCTGCATGGGTATGTGGCGAGTACAGGTTTGGATATTTGAAAACGGGGATGGTTTAGACAAACCCACCCCATTGCCATCCCTACGGGTGAATGAATGTAACATGATGGTCTTTGGGAGGAAAATAAGTAAATTAAATATAATATTTAATTAAGAATTGATATTCGGATTTGTGCAAACTTCAAGCCAATATAAGTTGGCTTCCATTTGATGTTACATGTTTGTAAATTATATAATATTCATGATCGAACCTCTTAGGAGTTGTTGATACTAAATGGTTCTTGACAAAATATATTATTCAAAAGCGAATGACTAACTGGCTCATGAATAATTGTTTGTTTGTATTCAACGAAAAAAATAATTGTTTGGTACACAGAGAGTGATATTCTTGAAAATTTCAAATGCCCATTTATTTTAATTTACCAAAAAATTTGGGATTTTTCCAATAATAGCACCTTAAAAAAAAAATACAAAACTAGCACCCATATGAAAAAATTGACAGAAATAGCACCAATTTTTTTTGGAACGCACCATAGGGGTGCGTTCCAGCATATGAAAAGCACTAGGGCGGTGCGATTTACTGCTGCTGCGGAACGGTCTTCAAGACCGTTGGATGGAGGGGCGATCGGACGGCTGAACACTTGCCAGCGGAGCGATCCGCGCAACGGATCGGGGATCGCACGCCCGAGATGCGGTCAACCCTGGGGAAGCGCAAAACGCATCGGGAGGGAGCGGTTTCACTTAGGAGCAAAATACCCCCTCCCAAAAGCCTAGGAAATAGTGGTCTGTTGGTTGCGGCTAAGTCCGATCTGCCATCAGAAAACATTTCTTAGGTTTTTTCCTCAAACCCCGCCGAGCCGAGCCGAAGCTTTGTCCGAATTTGCCGAAAAAATGGCCGATTGGTGGCAAGGAGAGGGAGTTTATGTTGATGAATTTCAAGCGGTACGTACTCATTATTCTGGTTTAATTTTTGTTGTTGTTATAAGCTTTTTAATTAATCTATGTACTAACCTCGTTGTTATTTTCTCGTAGGTTGGGGAGGACGTGGATATATACAACCAACGGTATTATCTCGAGCAAGGGCCGTTGGATCCAACCGATTTGTACGACCAACCCAACCATCGGTCAAGGGATGTTTGGAACGCTCACCCGGTACATACAATTCTTTACCATTTGTCCTTCTTTTATTTTGTTAATGTATTTAGTGGAATATAAAATAAATTTATGTTGAATTTTTAATCGTGTTGGTTGTTTTCAATAATTTAATCGAATACATAGCGCCACTTACTTCGACTCTTTATAAAGAGATGCACGTCTAAGGAAATGGGGTTTTAAGCGATTATCATATCCTCTCATTCCCTGGGAAAATCGGGTATTAAGAGATCCTCGGATCCCTCCTTTTTCTTTCAAAAAGACTGCGTTTCTAAGAAGATGTATACCTCTTCTAAGAGTCTAACGAGTGTTGCTTTGTATTCGATTAAATTATTGAAAACAACCAACACGATTAAATTATTTACCAAACAACCAATACGATTTATTTTGATGTGTACAAAATGAATTTTATTAATTTCAAATATTTGAATATGTATGTTTCCCTTTAAATTATTATTCATTAACAATGTCATTTATTTTAGTTAATTTAGTATGTTTGTTTTACGAGAATATGTATGTATCTCTTTAAATTATTATCCATTTAGAATGTTATTATGTTAATTAATTTAGGATGTTTGTTTTATGATAATATGTATGTATCTCTTTAAATTATTATTAATTTAGTTATAAGGAATAAACCCTTACTAATATATAATAATTAACGTGTAAATTTTCCCTAGGAGGTACAAACAATAATCCGCTACAGGGGTACGACCAATGTGCTCCCATTCCACCCAGCTATCTTGCCCTTTCTCAAAAGGGCACGGTTGGACCCGATTAGGCATATCAACTGTCATGGCCTTGGGAAGTTATGGATGACACACATGTGTGTGTGTTCACCGCACGGGATATGACCCAGTGGCCGTGTCTGTTGCTGTTGATGGCCCGAATCCTAACATTGCACCCCTAGTGATGAGACTATGAGCCTTTTAGTGTTGGAATGAGTTGTGTGCCATTCAAAATGCCGAGTCATTGCTTCTGTCTCAATGGCGTGCCGCACCTCCTTCTTCGAGCCAAATTGTTGGCCCTTCATAAACCCAGTGAGTGGACCCCATATTGGGACCTCTGGCGGCTCCATGTCGCTGTCGACCATCCAATTTTCGTCTGGAATGTGATTGTAGTAGGGGACTGGTACACGGTCACGAACCACCTCATCATCATTAGCTGAGTCTGACTCTGGTCCTGAATCATCAGCACCTTCAAGAGGGTCGAAGCTGTCTGCACTAACGTTGTTCTCTCCTTCTTCATCGGAGGGGTCACTGACTGGTGCTGGCAGGGAATCCTCCATCTGATCCAGCTCATGAAAGGCACCTTCATCAGCTCCATAATGGTAGTTGTGAAAACTACCGCTGCCTGAGTGGAAGTTGTGCTGAGGTTGGTTGGGGAGGTCCGGTTGAACTTCTTCTTCATATGAAGGGAAAGATTGATGATGACCTTCACCTTGCTCTTGGTACTGAAAATATGAATGAGGATCATGGTAACTTTGGTAGGGATGATCGCCATATAATTCACCTCCACCATGGATACCAGATGTTTGACCGTGTCCAGAATGACCTCCAACGCCTACGACCGACTCGGTGTAAACGAAAATCTCGGCTTTGGAAAGATTGTTGGACCTCATGAATTCGAGCATGTCATCTACTTCATCCTGAGTGGTTATGAGATATTCCTCATGCCACAATGACCCACTTTCTCTGTTTGGATATCGATACACCATACGATCAACTCTTCTCGTGCCATCCATGCAAGTAACGTTAGTGCACATTTGACAGAGGTCTTCAAGCAGCGGTCTGGTAGCGACCTTTATCTTCTGAAAATTGCCACCTACGTAAGTGACCCCCTTTCCGGTCTCTTCCGTGTAACCATTCCACCGTAAGCCAAGCGTGAACTTTTGGAATGCCATCTGCGATAAAACCGTAGTTCAGTTAATATCATAAAAATCAAAAATAAAAAATAACAATAAAAAGTAATACTAAATAAACTTACGAGTTAACGTTAATCGCAAAACTACTAAAGAAATATAGAGCTACAACAGAAAATTGAAAAGGGAGAAGGAGAGGTGTGAAGAGAAGTGGTTGTCCGGGAGGCCTTTTATAGGCAAAATGACTGATGAAAACCGAGTTAACGTTCGTCTGACCATGCACGTCCATGCAGACCCAGGTCTGTTACGTCTGCATGGTATGTCGGAAATTGATTGACCAAAACCGCACCTCCAAGGTGCGGTTTGTATGGCAAAATCGCACCATGATGGTGCGGTTTTGTTTGGGAGAAACAAACCGCACCTTCATGATGCGGTTTTAATAGGTCAGGCCAAAACCGCATCTCGGCCAAAATGCGATTTTGGTCCAGAAATAGGGAACGCACCTTAGAGGTGCGGTCCATTAAAAAGGGTGCTATTAGTGTAAATTTTTTCGGATGGGTGCTATTTTTATAATTTTTTTTTAAAAGATGCTATTTCTGAAAAAATCCCAAAAAATTTCTAACTATAAAAATTATAAGATATCAAAACGATTTTATCATATTTATTTTCCCTCTAAATGGAACAACGTGAAACGAATTCACGAGGCGAGTTGGTCAGACCAAGAACGGGCAAACCCGGGAACCCGTTTGGTGCGCTGCCGCTCCCAACTAGCTTTTCGCTGGCATGTCGGCAACCGAAAGCCGAAACAAGCAGTTGAGGAGGTGTGAGGCAGAGAAGTCGACTTGCTACTGACTCCATCTCCCTCTGTCCTGTTTCCATTCCCTCACCTCTTTACTCATCTTCTCCTCATCTCGCTGCGCCTGAGGGCTGAGACCATCTCCCTCCCTCCCTCTCTCTCTCTCTCTCTCTCTCTCTCTCTCTCTCTCTCTCTCTGCTGCTTCTGAAGCCCAGAACAACCGAAGTACAGAGGAAATGGAGGCATTGTTTCTTTTTCTCGTTGTACTACTGGCTCTCGTCTTCTCCTCCGCCTCCGCAAATGTTCACGGTAAGTAGTTTCAAAGTCCCCGCTTGCTATCCACTGACAATGTAATTTGGTAATATTCACTAATGGGGGAATGTGCCCCACATCTCTACGGATTTGTGATTCATCAAAACACTCTATTAACTGTTTCTGGGGCTCCACTGTGTGGCATTGAATGAATGGAGCCAATGGTAGACTGAAAAGGGTAGTGCTGAGATTGGAGTTGCAGATCTCTGATCTGCTGTTAGTAGAAATTGCTCGAGTTCGGATCTGGGATTCTTTCGTTTTCTTCCCTACCAGAGTCCAGTTCATTTTAGTAGTAAAATTGAACTCCAAGGGTTTACTTTGCTTGGATACTCTGGAATCAATTTCTACTTGAGGCTGCGGAGATGGCACTTTAAGGATCGACTAGAATAGGAAAATGCTCAGAAATAGATAGGATAGGATGATGATCTTGCTTCAATTCCAGAACTTATTTTTGGGACGCCCATTGACTATAATGAGGCTTTTCAGACATCTATGCTGATAACAACAGAGATATGATCTGGCTTAGTTATGGTGAAATCTGTGTAAATCTGCCTTCTGCAGCTTATGTTTGTCCCTTTTGCTGGCTTTTTAGATTGGGTATAGAAGCCTGCCACTAGGCTCTTGGTCTGTGTTGCTACATATATCTTCTAACGTAGATTGTTGGATGTCTTTTCTGCTTCATTCATTCGTCACAGTGTAGTAGTCAGACACCAATGAAGCTTTTCCTGTTTCATACAGTTACCGCCGCGCAGAAGCTAACCAATAACCCAGCGGATCAACTGGTTGCCGCGCTTAACAGCAACCGGACAGCTCACAAGGGATCGTCCCTCTATGATAATCCAGGCCTAGCTTGTATCGCGTTGCAGTACATTAAAGCGTACGAAGGGGAATGCAGCGCAGTAGGTGGCGGCGGTAATGCAAAGAAGCCTGCTGATTCTGAATTTGCTGAGACTTTTGCACCCAACTGTGGGGTTTCTGCCTCAAGCCTCACTCCCATCACTGGTCGATTGCTGGGCTGCGAGACAAAATATGTGCCTCCATCTGAGGCCTTCTCAAGCATTCTCATGAAGAACAGCAAGAGTCTGGAGATTCTGTATGACAAGAACCACACTGAAGTTGGGGCTGCCGTGAGTGGCAGCGATGGAGGCTCACCTTACTTCTGGTGTGTACTGTTCAGCAGCGGGAAGGCCAACAGCAGCTTTGCAATAGAGGGTGGTGTTGCCAAGATCATGAGGCCCGGGTGCTTCAGCGGTGCCAATGATGAGTGCAGCAGTGCTAGTGATTTGATCCGTCGGCTTAAGGTTTGGCCTTCTGCAGCTATTAGTCTGGCTGTTGCAGCCTACGTGTTTGGTGTATAAGATTTTTTTATGTGTATCAAAAGATCTTTTACACTCAATTCCACTTGATTTTTCTAGGATGATTTGTTGTTGTTTGTTAATCAGCTTGGCTTTTATGGTTCATTTTCTGGGTTGCTATTTGTAATACAATTATTTTCGTTTGTAAGAACGAATTGTGTGAGACACGCTTTAGGCTATCCACAATCGAAGGACTAAAAATTGAAGTCATTTGGAAATATGACATTTTAGCCTCATTGAAAATTGAAACAACTTCAATCCTAATTTATTCAATTTTATACTTTTTTGTTTATTGTTGAATAAATATAGCTTATGAATAATTATACTTATATTTTAGAATTTTCTTTATTCATGATGATTCGATATTTTGGAATTTAAACGATTTATGAACTATTTTTTTAGTTGAAATCAATTCCTTTCATCACTTTCATGGACGGTTCACATTTTCTAGTGGTTAGAATTCATTTAAAAAATTTAATATAATTTTTGTGTTTTGAATAGCAATTAGTGAAATTGGGTTAATTGCATGGTTGGTCACTGAGATTACAAAAAAAGTTCATGTTTGGTCACTGGAAATATTTAAATCCAATCTTGGTCACTCAAATTAGTTAAATGGTTCAAGTTTGGTCACTCTCCGTCCATTTCCGTTAACTCTAGTTTACGTGACAGTCAACTTTCATAGTTGACCGTTAAATATGTGACGTGGCAATTAAAAAATTATTAAAAATATTTTTTTATATTTTCCACCTCATTATTACATTCATTAAAAAATAAAAAAATAAAAAATCAAATTTCTTTTTTTAACACCCCCAATACCCTACTTGACCAAACATCACCACCACCGGAACACAACCTCCGGCCAGGCAGTGACATTCCTTCCAGGTTCGGCGAGCTCCCCATCATCACACTAACCGTATCGAACACTTTACCCATCCGGTAAACCACCGGCGGCTCCAACCACGACGACAAAATCCCCCTGATATTCTCATCGCTGTGCCCCACCACCGCCTCTTGCAGTCGCCATGCCGCCCACCCCAAATCGTTCCCCAGTAGCTCCCCCGCCGGGGCGGAGGTCCTCATCAGATTAATCGAGTTCCCGAAGTAGTCAAGATTGGGAGGATTCATCCTTCCCCTGTTGTTGTTCGCGAGACGGCACCCGGTGATCTTTTCCGGAGGGAAATTTCGAGCGCGGGTTATGCGTCGCCAGACCAATGAGGATAGGGATTGGAACGACGAGATCTTGGTGGTCTGGAATTGGCAGTTGCTTTTCGATTTGATTTTAGCAATCGATTCGGCCGAGAAGTGGAAGAAGCACTCGAGGAGCTCTGGCGATTCGTAGCGGCTAGGGATTTGATCTGACGGAAGAGGGATTATCGGGCCGTGGCCTTCAAAGAACCACCGTTTGTTCATCGAAGGACGGGAGATTGGGGTTTTTTCCTGAAACGTTTCAGATAAGGCGGTGAGGAAATTCCAGAACTATGTCCCATCACTGACGGCGTGATTGAAGGAGAACCTGACGAAAAATCCGTCAACGAGCTCGGTGACTTGAATTTTCACGAGGGAAATGGTGTGGCTGTTGTGGTTGATCGCTCGGTTATGGTCGAAGAACGATTGGACGACGACGATGGACGTAGGTCGGAAACACGATATCGGAGATGGTCAGATCCGCGGCGGCCTGGATCAATCGGGCTCCGGGTCTGTTCACACAATCGAGGGAGAAGCATGAGTAGCTCCCATGGAGGCAAGTGTATTGGGCGCTTCATTTCGTCGGCGGAAGGAATGCCGCTGCCGGGCGGAGGTTGTGTTCTGGTGGTGGTGAGGTTGGGTTGGGTAGGGTATTGAGGTGTGTAAAAAAGAAATTAGGTTTTTTATTTTTAATAATTTTTTTTATTGCCACATCACATATTTAATGGTCAACTATGAAAGTTGACTGCCACGTAAGCTAGAGTTAACGGAAATGGACGGAGAGTGACCAAACTTGAACCATTTAACTAATTTGAGTGACCAAGATTGGATTTAAATATTTCCAGTGACCAAACATGAACGTTTTTTGTAATTTCAGTGACCAACCATACAATTAACCCTAGTGAAATTGCTTTGAAATGAATTCGTTGAATTTAAAAACACTAAAAAATTGAATGAATAAATAAACTAAAAATAGCAGTAAGCTACATCGAGGTGTTTTGCACGCGTGCGGGCTTGCTGCCCTATCTAGACACTACATGCATGATGAGTTTTAAATTTGTACGATGAACACTCACTTCTATCCTAACAATATTATGGATGAAGTAAAGCGGCTCGGTCGTATTCCATGAGGCCATGGATCTACTACTACTTCATGACTAATTTACTATTTAACCTAAATGATAATTTGGGGTGTTTTAAACTACTAGAGCAACTACCGGGTGTTTTGGTTTGAGTATAGGAGAGGTACTTGGGGCTAGCTTCCCCCTAACCCTAGAAAGACTCGGGCTTGATTACAAAAGTGATGTTATTTCCATTTATGATGTCAAATTCATCTTATATCGTTACAGGGGCAATGGTCATGTCTCCTAGAGCCCTCCTAGTAGGCTTCTCGGCTCAATGGTCATGCAACCAACAACGCTAGGGTGGTAAGACTTGGTTCCTACGAGGGTAAACCCAAGGACAAACACAACTTCAACTCAATGGTCAAGTTCAAATCGTGTCTCGATTGATAAATGTTTATGGCTTGACCTAAGGGGATGGTCACCTCAACCTAGGCATAATAAAATATCCATGTAATGGCATAATAAAATATCAATTTGACCATTAATAGTGGGAGAGAATTCATATACTCATATAAAAACCCTAACATCCATGTAAAGGTTTAAGGGTTCTTACCCCAAGCCCAAAGGGGATTACCCCATAGAAGAAGAGGAGGGAACCATTGTCTTCGTGAACACTATCTGGTGGCTAGCCTTCAATATTCAAGATGGCTCCCCTTCTTCTTCTTTCCTTCCTCTTTTCAAGGGAACCCTAGGTTCCTCTCTATAACCCATAGCTATTTCTCTCTCTTCAAGAGTCAAAACCACCAAAAACCCTAAGCACCTTGAAATATGAGGCAGGCACATCTATTTATAGACAAACAGGAATCTCGGGCAAAATTGCAACCTCTTATCAGAGATCGCGGCCACGATTTGGAAGAATTGCACACTGTCATTCGACGTAGTCGTTTTGGTCTGAGATGGACAAAGAAGGGGATAGAAACTAATAATACTTTCATATGATTACACGTGTTAGAAGGCATCAAAACTATATTGAAGGATGGTTGAATGCAGACAGAAGATGGGTCACAAGGTATGAGGAGATGACTAAAATAACATAGGAATTCTTTATGAAGTTGTTCTCAATTGAATGTGTATTGGAGCAGGTGGAGAGAAGTGTTGCCAAACTTCCAATTCAATTCAAAATTACTGTGGAGATGAACGCAAAGTTGGTGACTGCGATCCTCCCAGTCGAGGTCATGAGAACTGTCTTTTCCATAGGAGCAACACAAGCACTTGACTACGATTGTTTCACAGTAGTCTTCTTTAGAAGTTTCTGGCATATAGTCGGCGAGGACGTTACGAAGGTGGTTCAATTATTCTTTCCTATCAGCCAAACTGCTGCATAACTTTAATCATGCATGGTCATCATTGATCCCAAAGGTTGACTTGGTAGAGAATATGAAGCAGCTGAGACCAATCAGCTTGTGTCAATTTGTATACAAAATCATATCTAAGCTTATGGAAGAGATGATGGCTTCACTACATTGGGAGGTGATGTCACATTATCAAAATGGATTCATTAGGGAACTACAAATATTCGAAAATGTACTAGTGGGGCATGAGGTGATGCACCATTTAAATTGAAAACGAAAAATGAAAAAGGGGCTGATGGGAGTGAAACTCGATATGAAGAAGGCATACAACATAATAGAGTTGCCTTTCTTGGTAGCTATGATGGAAAAGCTTGGTTTATGCTCTTCATGGATTCATTGGATGAGACAATGTATTATGACACCATCATTTTCTCGCTTCCTCAGTTGCAAGTCACGAGGTTTCTTTTGTCCAACACATGGGTTGAGACAAGGGAATCCACTATCCTCCTTGCTCTTTGCCCTCTATATTGAAGGATTTACTGATCTAATTGAGAAGGATGCAGATGGGTTGAAACATGAAATCAAATTAGGAAGGCAATTCCCCCAATTTCACACATGTTGTTTGTTGATGACTCATATATGTTCTCAACGGCCATAAAGTACACCTATCAAAATCCGCAGTTTTCTTTAGCAAGAATGTGGATGCAAAGGAGGCGGTCTATATGGAAAAATGACTAGTGTGGGAGAAATTGGAGTGAAAGACAAGTACTTGGGGCTCCCATCGCTGGTTAGTAGATCGAAGAAGGAGAAGTTTTGTTTTTGCAGGAAAATCTTTGAGTCGACTCTAAGGTTGGAAAATTTATTGTCTGTCACAAGCAGTAAAAGAGATGTTGCTGAAATATGTGGTTTTGGCTTGCCATCCACATATTTCTGTGTCGTAAACTCCCTAAGGGCCTATGACAAACTTTAAATATAATCATCTCACGTTTTGGTGGGGGCGAAATAAGGGAGATTTCATATGCATTGGGTTTCATGGAGACTAATGTGCGAAATTAAGGCCGGCGGAGGAATGTAATTAAGAGATTTTGAAACTTTTAATAAAACTTTGTTGGCGAAGATTGGGTATAAAATTTTGGACAACCCTTTCGTTGTTGCTGGCTAGAATTTATAAGGGTACACAATATACTCAGGGGAGTTTTTTTAACAAAGTTCGGATCAACACCTTCCTGGGGATGACATAACATCTTATACAAAAGCGGATCATTGCAAGAAGGTCTAAGATGGCAGGTAGGATCGGGTGAGACGATCCTTATTGAAGATAATTCATGGATGCCACCTGTGGAACAACTTAGAAAATATCCTCAGGTATTGCAAGGGCGGACTATCTCATCCCTCGTACAATAAGGTATTGGAGTCTGGAATATGGCAGTTATGCAACAAAATATTCCTCAAGGCACAACAACTGTGATCCGTTAATTTTTTTTCCTGTCGATGTTTTATATAGGTTAGTTTGTAATTTTACTCCCTCAGTTAAAATTACTGTTAAATCATGCTACTTTGTTGCTTTTAACTACCAAAATGCAGGTCATTCTTGGAGGAGTTTAGTGAACATATAAGATTTGAGTTTATGGAAGAAGCTCTGGGCTCTGCACTGTACACCAAAGCGACACCATTTCTTATGGAAACTTATAAGAGGTATCTTACCTATTGGTGTGACACTGTAGAGCCATGGGGTAGCCACATCTATGACATGCATTTGTTGTCTCGTAGAAGATGAAATCCCGAGAACACTTGTTCTTCTATTTTCCTATAGCTTAGAGACCGTGGGAGGAAACTCATCTCTCAGAGGTAATAAGTTCTTTTGAATGTAGTAATGTGGTGATGTTTGGCGAAGGCTCTTGAAAGTTGAGGCGATTGAGCCCATGAGAAGAATCAAAATCCTTTGTGGCTTCTGGAGGATTGGAAGTATCAAAATGTGGTATTTTTTGATGGTTTACACTACATGCCACATGTTTTGGTGAGCCAATTGTAGGTACAGTTCTCTGAACTACAGGGCTTGTGAGCAGCTAGGAACACAAGGGAGAATTAGGAGGGATGAGATGCTTGCTATTGGGGGGAGATGTTACCCATTTATGCCAATGGAGCATGATGGATGAGATGCTTGCTACTGGGGGGAGATGTTACCAATTTATTCACAATCACTATAGTCAAAATCGAATTTTAAAACTTTAAAACTTACATTTTTACTCTTCTAGGTCACCAAAACGCTTCTATGCATGATCACCATATTTATAACTAATGTAGTTAAAAACTGCGATTTAAAACTTAAAAGCTTACGATTTTATGCTTCTAGATCACCAAAACGCTTTTATGTAGAAACACGCTTTTGACTATATTGTTCACAATCCCTACATTGTAGTGTTCTTCATGTTAATGGATGCTTTGATTTGGTGCCAAGGTTGGTGCTTAGGCTATGTTGTGATTGAAGGGATGCTCAGGTAATTATAAACAAAGTTTTGGACAAGGTGAATTCGGATGGATACTAGGAGCCATTTTGCTGGAGGTTCACACTCTTTTGCAGGATTACTCTAGTTGTAAGCTTTGTGTTGTGCTTCGGTGTGAGAATGTAGCAGCTCATCCAATACCAAAGAAGGCTCTCAGTTTGTATCCAACATGTTGTTTTTGTTTTGACTTTAGTGCATAGCTGCGCTCGCTGATGACACATGAAAGTATTTATTATAGACCCTCGTATTGTGACCCAAAGTGGATACATTTCCTATAATTATCGTCTTAATATATTGAATTATTGCTATGATTGTTTCAAGTGGGTAACCCTATGATTGCTTTTATATGATTGATATGCTTTTGGTAGTGTTTTTTGCATTTTCAGGGCAAAGCAGTCTAGTGGGCCACTTGGAAACCGTAGGGGACATCGAGCCCAAGTTGTTGGAACTAGGATTCGAAGACCAGACTTGAAGAAAAAAAGGCGTCTGGAGCACCATTTTAGTGAAGAGAAAAGGCTGTCACGACACCGTATTGTGAGAGTCGTCCACTTCGCTAGGAAGTTATTCCGAAACATCTTGATTCGCTGGCCACGTGTTTGGAGCGCTCTGATTGGCCTAATGACGCATAAGGAAACCTTCCTCCTTAGAAAGCCTAATCGAAGATCTATAAATAGGGTATAGAGGTAGAGTTCGAGAGGAGGAGATGAGAGGTCAATGAAGGGTTGTTACTCTGCCGACACAGAAACCCTCCTAACTTAGAACGAGTCCACCTTAAGCGGGAATCAATGGAAAAAATGACGCCCTATGCCAATTTTCTCTGTTCCTACTGCCGATTCTTGTGGCCTCATGGAGTCTTCGTTGTGAACACTTTATGGTTTGGTTTTCATACTATGAAATCATGTGGAAAATGAGTATCTTTTGTATAATTAAAAGAATTATCTAAATAAAGTAATGAAATCAACACTTCATTAATTTCGTCAAAAGTCCTTTTTTACTCTTTTCTCTTGTTCTCTTTTCATATATTGATCAAGGTCGTCAACCTGCGAGTTAATAAACCTCATAAAGCACACCGCAAAATTCTTAAAACATACCAGAAACCTCATGACACGCCTCTACCGTCACACTAGAAAGTGGCCAAGTGCAACCACCTACTAATGCGTAGTATAGCGGGTTCAGTTCTAAATGTCAACCCGGGTCCTAGGTGTGATGACTACTCCGTGAAAATCTTATTATTTAGCGGTTCTAGTGTAGTGATGGTTTAGTTAAACTAGCAAGCAAAGCAGTGAAAGTTGTGTTCAAGTTGAGAGAGGTCACCCACATATGGTTCCCCCTAGACTGCAGTTAAGCCAGGTTGTAATTTACCAAGTTCAAGTTCAATGATAGTTATACTGCGGGAGGTTCTTAAACAGTCTGCAGTCTCGACTAAAGGTCTCCAGACCCTCTCAATCTGAGTCCCCAGCGGGCGACTAACCTCCACCGGAGTAAACAGATTAAGGCCCTAACGAACCAAACCTCCTCTACCGAAGTAAATCCGGTACAGAATAGGGAATTGACTTCTCAACTAGAGTCGTCAATTCACTGCCTTCAAACAAGGGTGCTCTATCAACCTAGGCAGATACTCTCTTTCTAGGTCAAAGCAGAAATAACAAGAATTTGATCAGGATTCATGTCATTCAAGAAATCAAACCTCAATTGAATATAATCATATCACTAAATTCGTACTTGGGTTCATACAATTAGACCTAACATACAAATCTGGGGTTCTTCATACCCAAGTGAATGAGAAAGTTTACTCCATAGAGAGAGAAGGGAAATCTAGCTCAGATTCGGAAACCATACTGTGAAGGATGGGATTCTGCTTCTGGCAATCAATCGGCACTTCTTCAAGCTCAAGTCGGGCTCCAATGGTGATGAAGATCGATCTAGGGCACTTGGAGAATCAGGTTCGTCACTCTCTCTAG